CTTAAATACTTCCATAATATAGAGCTACAATATCATTTTGTGGCCCCGCGGCTGCTGCCATTGATCAGGATGAGAGGGGAGACTGACTCTGGGAGACTGGACTGGATAAAAATGTTTTGGCTTCGCAATCCAGCCAACAAAATGCGGAAACGTGCCAGGCGATTCACAATCGCACTCGCTGGGGTTCTCGGACTGGATTCTTGTGAGCTTTTGCTTTGAATTGAATAGGGGGTTTCGCATTTTACCCGGTGCCAGCTGAAAATCTTGGGAATATCGTATTTTGACACAGGGATAATGAATACTTTGACTTTTTGGTAAATCCCCTAGAGAGTTTTGTTAGAACGTGTAAGTGTTCTATGAACTTTTAAGATAATTTTGATGATATTGTTCTTACATATGTTTATCAATAGGTAGGTAGTTATAATATATAGTATATTAATTTCTTTTTCCAGTTCTAGGTAATTTAACAGTTGAGTTACTTTCCTAATAAGACCTCCGTTTGCTAATATTTTCAAGAAACAAATCCATCAAGAAGCAGGCAGCGCCATCTAGTGTTTGGATTAGCCTCGGGGCGGTCTGGGGTATTAGAATCGAGTCCCTCCTGCCCCCATTCACTCTCTTTCGTCCTGCGGAGCTGTGGCTTGTGTAAACACCCACTAAACTGCTAGAGCCAGAGTCTCCAATGGTTCATAAATCATCGCGATAACAAATTACCGCTGCTGGATGGTGGATGCTGGACGCTCGAGAGGAGTGGGAAGGGCGTTCGGAAAGCTGCATGGAAGTTACAAAAGATCAATCTTATTTGCGCCCCGAAAATGGCCAAAGTTGGCGTTGTTTTGAGGCTGAGGCGCTTGGCTGGTCTCCAGTCTCAGGTTTGAGGTTGCAACTCCCAGAATCCGAGTTCCGAGTCCAAGTCTAGTCTGTCCGGTCGATTAATTTGGTTTGCTCCAAACAGCCCAACATCTCTCTTTCTTTTCGCTGCATTATTATTATTATTGTTATTGCACTGCCAGGTCTAGCTCTTGGTGCAGATCCCCATCCTCCCCAGATAGTGGCTCTGCCTGCTCCTCCAGCTAAACAAACTTACAATTTAGATTGAATTTATTTGAGCGCATGGCCTAGACGAGGAGCAGCCAGCCAGCCGGGCTGGCTCAGCCTGCTGCCCATTGAGATCTTCATTTGCTGATCTTTCTGGGAACATCTCGGCGGCGTTGACCCCAAAGGCAGCTCCACCTCAGCTCCTCAGCTCCCCCAGCTAAAGCTCCAGTCAAATCCACAGACACAGACTGCGTATCGGGGTCTTGTCCGTTTGTCCGTCTGTCCGTGTGTCCGCATGTCCGCCTGCCTGCCTTTCGCTTTGTGTTGTGCGTTCTCGTCCTCATCCTCGTCCCTTTCGGTCCAGCTCGCTTTTTGAACTCTATTAAACTCAACGGATTTATTAATTTTGCTGCCGATTAACTGTTTCAGATACCGCTTGACCATTCCGGCCCTGGCTCGCAACTCGCAACCGAAACCGAACTGGCTCTTCAGTCTCCAGTCTTCAGAATCCAGTATCCGTTAGCTGCATCGCTTCATAAATCATATTTTGTTTGGTCTCTTGTGGCATTCGAAGAGGAAATCACAGCCAGGGCATCGGAAATTGCGAATCTCCAAGACCTTAAAATGCCGACAAAGATTTGACATTCGCATAATTAGACAGTCTTCTGGGGGCCAGTCTTCTGGGGAACTTCGGGAGGTAATCCCCATATACTAGTGGGTAAGCTTTTGACATTTGTTTTAATAACAGCTTCAAATACATGACACGACAATAGCTACATAAAAATGGCCATAACATGGAAAGCTAATGTTAAAAAAAAGTCAAACATGTGTATCTTTCAGATACATGCTGGCTCAAAAAAGCAAATATTCAGTGATTTTGATGACAGGGCAGGGGATTTAAATACTCTATCATTTTGAGGGGATATATGATTTAGTATAGATATTATTTCTAAAACCCTTTTCAGGACAAATCCAGTGAGTCTGTCCAACAACCCTTCCCCGGAAGAGTGTGGGTGAAATGTCAATCCGAACTATGTCAGCAATGCAAGGACCCAAGAGGTAAGAGAGGGTGGTGGTTGTCTGCTGCTTGGGTTGGCTGCCCCTTAGTGGCGGTGGCAGAGTGGTGGTGGTGGTGGCACTTATCTCGCGCAATTGATCGCGGGTTGTTATAGCCGCCGTTGTTGCTGCTGCTTTTGGCTTTTGGCGGCCATTGTTTGCATTTTTTTATACCTTACCAGCTTTTTGTTGTTTCGTGTTCTGTGTTCTGTCTAAAATGACATTTTTGTCCAGAGCTGTTGTCGCTGGTTTGTTTGCCAGGCCCATAGGTGTGTGTGTGTGTGGCAGCAACAAAGGCAGCCATTTTCGGAGTACCGCAAACGGCAATTATAATTGCGGCTACTTATCGGACAGTGGGTGGGTGGGTAAGTATGCATAATGGCAGGGTGGTGGGTGGATGGGTGGTTGGGGTGCTGCATTTTTCTAAAAGGTAAACATCGTTTTATAGTCAGTTGCTGTTGATTGTTTTGCATGGTCGAGTCACAATGAATCGAATCCCTGAATACCCAGCTTAAATCATGGTAATTTACTAAATTAAATCGAATTAAATCTGTTGTAAGTAATCTTTTAAATAATTTAACTTTGTTCTAAACAAAAAATGATAGAAATTTTTGGCATTTTTATTGATATATAAAAGGTATACCTCTTACCATCAAAGATTGAGTTTTATTTACACTTCTACCTTATAGCCTTCCCTTGTTCCAGGCTTACAACTTTTGTTTATGTATTTAGAATAATTATATTTAATTGGCGCCGCCAATGGATTGGAGTAAACATTATATGGGGAAATGAATTACCGGCCATCCCTTCTTTCTGAGGAATTTTATGTGACCCTTTCCCAGCTTGTAGACTGCATAGTTCGATAAAAAAAATATTTGTTTCTTGTTTTTTGAGCTTTGTGTTCGCTAATGTTTTTTACCCTACTTAATTGGCAAATTATATAGATCTAAATACAGAGGGCTATATGGAGGGCTTGTCTAGATGCGATCAGCATTGACATTGATGTGACCAGGCAGCTGCCGACCAAAACGAGCAAAAAAAAACGAGTTAATAAGAAACTTGTTACGAAATTAGGCAAACAAGGGGCAGGGGATGATGGGGGGCAAGGTTGCAAGTGGCATTAAGGATTGTGGCAGGAACTATATGCGCGAAACGTCATCACGAAATTGATATGCGAGAAGCAAACAAAAAGACTAACATAGGCAGTCTTTCTTGAGTTCGAATTTAAGTTTTTAAAGAAAGATATAATAGTTACTAATAAAAATTCAATAATATTTTACCAAGAACTGTTTCCCCCTATTTCATGTTTTTTATTTATTTCCATCTTATCCAGTGACTACTGTCGGAAAGGGCCTAAGTAATCGCAAGAAGAAAAAAAAGCACCTGCCCCACACACCTCCAGTGCTGTAGCGTAAATTGATAAGCTGCCAGTGGAATTGGCCAAGTAAACTGGTTGGGAGCTCTCCACAGACTTCACTTTACTTCAGTGGACTTGACTGAACTCCTCACTTATTAGTGCCAGCGATTGACAAGAGCTGCCTTCTGTTTGGGATGCTCCTCCGCTCCTGTTCATGCCTCGGATGGAAGTCTGTTGGTTTTTGTCTGGATCCCAGCAGGATTTGGGCTGTGGGCTTCTTCTCCTGGCTAGACCAAGTTTCGGATCCGTCTGTCTGGTTGCGACTGTGCTTTGAATTGTTGCACGCAATGTAATTGACAGAGCCAGCTGACGTCACAATTTATAAGAGAAACAAAAGGGCAGTTACAGTGGTGTCTTATTCTAGAAATGATATTCTGGAAACTGAAAATGTTACATTTCTTAAAGCTATGAAATAGGATTGTGTCTCTTTGAATCCCTAAACCCTCACCATCTGTGGCATGCGGTTAGAGTCTGAAGGAGCATATGCTTCGGGTACTACTACAGACCGTGCTGGGCCAATCAGCATCCTGAGTGCGGACATTTTGCCCACCTGGATGTGCATTTTCATGTTCTTCGGTTATGGGTATACATTTCGCACTCTTTGCCGGGGAAACTCTTGTGGTTCTTGTCATGCGGCACATGGGAATAAATCATTCGCGATAAGCGCCGAGTGAGTGCTCATGTTTATGCTTTTAATGGCTTTAGTCACACCAAATAAAATTTGCATTTTCTGAGGAAAAAGCAAAGAAAACTCTGCCTAGATAAGTTTCAGTCCAAAAGTTTGGGATACGGAGAGAGGGGGACCCATTGTGATATCTATTAATTACCGCCTAATTAATTAAAAGATGAGAAATGAGTGGAGGGGGTAACAAGGTTCTCTGAGAAGTCTCTCAAGAAGGGGGTGATGTCTGGAGGTGGGAGGGTAATTAGGGCTTAGATTTCCTACTTCCAAGGATGTCCTTCTTGAAGGAAGAACACCTTTGCTGGTAAAGTCAGAGTGCTCCGAGACCATTATCCTTTTTAAAGGATGAGGTGTCCTTTAACCTCCCCAGATAAATAAACTGATTTCTGGAGTCTGTAGACCCAGTAGCTTAGAAAAGAGTCAAGAATACCTGGCCAGTGTGTGTGTGCCTCAGCGAGTGCACGCCCCCATCAGTCGACTGGGTGGGCGAGAGCGAGATAGCACCGACACTTCCATGATTGCGGCGGTGGTGGTTGCCTTGGTTGGCTGCTCCCTTCCAGTCACGCACACAGCCGCGGGCATGGCGTCAGCGGAACTGTGGCAATGGAACGCAAGCTCAGCCCCTCTCGCTCGCTCCCGCCGCGTCGCTTGGCGATCGTTAGTTGCCAGGACGACTGGAAGGCGACCACAACAAAGGGGTCCGTGTTCCGTTTCCGCCAGTTCCCGCAGGACTGGTTTTCGGCCCGTTCCCAGCTCTCGTTCAGTTCTCGCTTATTTCAGCTCAGTTCATTTCTCTTTGTCGCTTCATCCTTACCGGTTCGTAATTTGCCGCCTGGTTCCTCTACACAGAGAGAAAAATACATTCTCTCAGAGACTGTGGACTTCCAAGAGAGCTTTTGTAAGCCTGGTCGCGAGCAAACGAGACAGAGACAGGCTGGGCGAACGCGCGATAGAGAGAGAGCGAGCTAGCGAGAGGGGGAGCCAAGCGGCCCAGTCGATTGTTTTTGGCGCTGGTGGAGCTCATTCACTCGTTTCTGGCGCTCGCGTGCAGTCGCTGCTCCCTAACGGTTGTTTCGCCGTCGCCAGATCCCGAAAAGGTGCGTGTGTCGGTCTGTGTGTGAGTGGAGTGCTCCCGTGCGAGTGCTGGGGAAAAAGTGAAATGGCAGCGAAAACGAAACGCAGCATACCCTGTCACGCGATACCCTGTACTTGAAGTTCTGGACTAGCTCACGCAACAACAATAACAACAACAACAGCAATTGTCCCACAGGAAAGGAGTGAGCGGCGGAGTCAAGTGCAAGTGCAGACCGCCGTCGGTCATTGAGCTCCTTCCTCCTTCTACACCCACACACACACACTTGAATATCAGGTGTGCGTGTGGCAAGCGACAAACGTCACTTTGACAACTTGCCCGCCTCTGCCACTGCCTCAGACTCAGCCGCTCCTCTGCCGATCGTGCCGCAAGTGATTTGCGTGCCGTTCTTGCGTTAGCGATTCTGATTCCGTGCCGATTCTGATTTCCTCTGTTGCATGCGTCCCCATCGCCTCGGCCATCGCTAAACCGTTGATAAGCCAGGGCCCGCAACTTAACCACAACAACAACAACATTCCTCAAAAAGTGCAAGTGAAAGCCAAAATGACTCCGATCGGCCAAAACATAACATAAACATGCAAAACATCGGGTGTCCAGAATCAAAACAAAAAAAATCCATCAGGATTGAAAAGCAATTGAAAAGGGGTGCCACTTTTGGGTCAGGACAATAGTCTCGATAGGCAATTGATGGTTTCAATGTCCTATTTTAAAAGAGAGATGGAAATTTTACATTCGTTGGTTCAAAGACTTAAAATAATGCTCCTAACTTGATTAGGTTTTAAAATTTGTATCATATTTTGTTTCAAAGGTAGAACATTTTGAGAGTTACTAAGAATTATCCCTTGTAGGGAAGATATAAGGGTAGAACACAGGATATAATGTTCCTATCTTCATTATGTTTTAAAAATTCTAATATTTTTTGATTTTTGAAAAGAATACATTTATGTTTACTAAGACCTATTTTTTAAAAAAAAGTTCGAATATAAATTTTCTGTAATAATATTGTTATAGAAGAGGTTTCAGAAAATAAGGTTACTAACCTCATTAACTATTTTAAGTTCCTCAAGTTTTTGATCACCAAATAGCCTTTTTTGAGGTCTTTAAAAACCTATCCATTAAAAACAAGTTATGTTAGAAATTTCCAATAAAATTATAGGATAGGTTACAGTTTGTTTTTAACTTTATTAAATATATAAAGTTGTAATGGTTGTAGATCCCAACGAATAAACTTTGTAGGGGTTACATATACGTCTCTTTTAAAAAAAGCTTTATTAAAATTTCCCATAGTAAAAGATAGGATTAAATGGTATAGGTTACAGAAAATATAATCAAATTTTCCTAAAAAGATTTATTCATTGTTTATTTAACAATTTGAAAGCAAATCAGTAGCTTAGAGGCAGTTTTATAATGATTTTTTATGTTTTATAATGAGCTTTATAAGGGCCTTTCCCAACTGTTCTAGTAGGATTTCCACCCAAATCGGTGACATATTGTAATAACTGGATAATTGGCATTCCATTACCAAGTTACCAGCCACAACAATTTCCAACAAAAGCAAACCCAAGTACAATTGCCAGACCCATCAGAGTTCCCACCCTTTTTCAATCTTTCAATTGCTAAACCTCTGATTCCCATCGAATCGTGCTTATATAGATCCATCCAACTGAAACTACAGTGCAATAAAATAAAATTTAAAAAAAAAAAGTAAAGAAGCGAGAAATGAAAGAGCTAACAAAATGTAACCGTGATGATAATTAAAAATAAAACACAAAGAGGAAAAAAAAAACAAAATTTACGCGTGGCTACATCTCCGAAACCGAAACCCCGCAGCAGGATCTCTACGGATCTGATCGCGTTCAGCTTCTGGCTGTCTGTGTGCGGATCCGAGTGTGGAGTGTACCAGTGTGGTGGAGTGTACCAGAGTCAGCCAAATCAATAAATAAAAACCAATTACAAACAAAAAAATACAAAAAAAAAAACTAAGGAAGGGAAGACAAGCTACAGAAGGCAGCGAAATATTGATACGAAAAATAATAAGAGCAAAAATCATTCACCACGGCGACCATAACGAACTCCGCCCTAGCAATGAGCCAGCTGGGCACCGTCTACGCCACCAAGCGAAGGCGACGCAACGGCAAGAGGTGAGTACCGTACCTACCTACCAGATACCGATTCGCATTCAGATGCAGGACTACAGATACAGATACAGATACAAATGCACACAGCGGGAGGCGGATTGTTTGGTTAGCTCTGTTATTACTGAAAGATTTCAATCAATGCGCGTGAGTGGCTGCGATTGGCTGCACTTGCCACTTGCCGGTTGCCACTTGGCACTTGGCGCCTTGACGCCTTGTGGCGCCACCCGCTGACGTTTCCATCGTGTCCCTCTATCAATCTCACAGAGCTACTGGTCTTGAGGTCCACTCCACTCTATCCCATTCGATTATTAATGATCCGACGGCCATTTGTTGACAAATCACCTTTGACTCTCGACTCTCGGCGACGGCCCTTGGGTATCTCGTCCCTTGCCCCGTGCAACGTCGGAAATTGATTTGCATTATGCATGTGTCGGAGGGGCAGGTTACCGTGAAATTACAGTAGCCAAAAGGTTGATGAAGATGATGATGAACAGCCCCCGGCCTGTGCGCTGGGGGAGATCGGAATCTGAAGATCGGCCTGACCCAAGGTGCCCATAATTTCTGATAATTTTGTGTACTTAGCTACCGCGGCATCGCCAAGAATGGTATTTTTAATATAAATATACGAGAACACACGCATTATCATGGCCAGTGCCTCTAAATATGTACCAGGAGATACACAGAGGGGGGACACACTGCACCACCACCGACCACGCCCCCTCCCATTCAGTCGGATAGTTGGATGCGCTTCGTCCGCTAATGTTCCACGATCCCCATAATCAAAAGTCACTGATCAGCGCAGCTGCAACGTCTTAGCCTTGAAATGGTTGTCTTGGATGGAGGCTTGCAATCGTCTCTATAAGGCTGATTAGGACTTGATCATTTTTTAAAAAGATTATTACTTGATTAGGGGAGATTTGGAGAGGAGTTTTCTGGCTGATGGTAGATTATGTGATGTATTAAAACCAAATAGGTGGCTAAATAGCTGATAAAAGATGTATTGGAATTTTTTTAAGAGGTGGTAGTTGAACTCTTGGTTTTAGTTAAAAATCTATTATAAGTGTTTTAACTTTATACAGCCAGAATATGGTATTATCTTCTAAATAAACTAGAAGGTATTTAGATTCGTGATCTGAATTAAGTGTCGGATGATAGAGAATTAAAGTCCACTATATTGTTGGATATTTCTTTTCAATAATAATAAAATAATATATATGTAGATACTTGAAAATTAAGAACCTTTTTGAAGTTTCCATAAAAATTAAACTAAATTTATCTCAAAGAACGTAGGCATCAGATATAAGATGGCCAATAGTAGCTCCTTAAATTGAAATATTTAGAAACAATTCGGCTTGTTGCCTGTAAGATTTGAGTAAATTAATTTCAATATCATACATTCAACATCGGCTAATAGCCCTTCGTCATATTTATCTTTCCTTTAAAGTGGTTCTTTGTTGAGAATCCTCCACTTCATCAATAGCCATGCCCATAATATGCTGTTTTCTGTATCGAGCGATAAAGAATGAATGAACTTATGGGGAAAAACAATTACGCTTTTGCGGCAGTAAAGTAAAGTTAAAAAAAAAGGGGCTTTAAAAGTACCACCCCACTTTTAAAGGTCCCCTGGCTGACACCGACTCTGCCGCGCTCGACTGACGCAAAATTGTCACCTTGCCTCTCCCGGTTGCAATGCACACCTGCAATTACTCGACAGGCCCTGTGCTGGGCTGTGCGGCACCCCTGGATCATAGTAGTAGTATTTTTTTAATGTTTTTAATGAACTGATCAAAATGTGTTCTCCTGAGCTTCAAGCCGTCTTTTAGTCGACATTTTACAACTTTTTAATTGAGCTCATAAGTGCCACAGGACCGAGGAGCAGCTGCCCTTTGTTCTGTGCCTCTCAACCCTGACACCTTTGGGAAATATTACGCATACGACGCCTAGACCGGGAGTGCTCGAGTGTATTCTCCATTTAAAGTTTGCAAATAGTTTGGCTTTAAGTTTTCTAGAAAATATAATCTGTGTAATCTAGAAATCCCGGACATTCCTTTCCTTTCTTTCCGTTTCTCCAGTGAGCGGGTTAATTGGAAGCCGTGGCATCCGTTTCGGACCGCGAGTATTCAAAGTTCGCCCTACAATGGCTCCAAACGTCCTGGTCCTCATCCTCACCCTCACCCTCACCCTCGTCTCGCAGTGGGTTCCACTTGTTGGTTGTTATGGATATATGAGTCCCGCTTTTGCTTTATTGATTATCAGCAAGTTGTTTATGCTCTCTATGGGTGCTAACAACAAGCCATTGTTGTTGGTTGCAACTATGTATATGCAAGTACTTCCCCAAAGGGGTATCCAAGTTATTGATTACTGCAGCTGGTATTCCTTGCAATGCTCCTTTGCTCCGAGCTTCAATTGCCATTGTCGGTTGAAATAGTAATTAGCCAAGTTGCAGGTGCATTGTGGCCTTTGTGGAGTGGTTTAAAGTTCAAGCTATAGTATTTTATGTACTTTGATTGAGTTGCCAAAGTTGGGACTTAAATTTGGTGGTTTGGGAGGGAAAGCATTGGAAATAGGACCTAATACTTGATGACTTGAGAAATGACTAATAAACCTTCCTTGTATCTGAATTATAATTTATATTCTTTAGTCTACGACCCACCCTATCACTAAAATGACTCCAAACCCCTGTACCCTCTTCTTTAACAAATTAATTTGTAAAATTTTTGATGAATTACCTTTAGAGCTGTATGAATTGTTTTATTCCCACATGCCTGGAGATCGCCCGGCGGAAAACCGCAGCCCACTGCGACATATGTTTTCGGAGCTAGGCTTTCAGGTTTCTGAGGGGAGCCGCCAGGACCATATGGCCAGGACCTCTTTCACGGAGCAGACATAAATTTCAGCAGCGGAGTCGCTGCCCAATTTAATGTTGGTCAGAAAAGAGCTGACCAGCAGCAGCAGGCGGGTGGGACAACACATGGCCTGTGTATGGTGGTGGGTTGCTCATTAGTTGCGCCTGCGCCCATACCTCCACCTCCTCCTCCTCATCGGGGTCGGTTCACATGGGGTTAAAAGTATCTCGCCTAAGAGTATCTCGAACTAACGGACTAGCGGGTGATTCTATTTAGTTAATTACAACAGCCTATCTAGTGGTGGTAGGGTGGGGTGAGGAGGTGTCCGAGATCAGTGATATATGTATGAATATGCCTGCTGACATACACCCCGAGGTGTATCCCTTCCAGCTCCTGCTCAGTTGAGTTTTTTAATGGAATTCTTGAAGGGAAATCGACATAACCCCTTCAGAGCAGTAATGCTGGCTTTTATGGACGATTTTGTATTGGGAGCGCTTTAAATACCCGGCTACCGTCTTTGGTTAACCGTTTTGGTTGTTCCACTGCCATTTCGCTTCAGTTGCTTGCCGGCGATTATCCGACTGGCAGAGTCTATGGTCTATATCCCTCCTTGTTCCACTCCCACTCTGCAGCAGAGTGGGTGCTTGGGGAGGGCTGTGTGTCTGTGTGTTGGTAATTAACACCATTGCGTAATGCAGCGTATCGAAGCCTAAATAGTGCTGCTCCATATGCCAAGCTGGATGCCTAGATATCCGCCATTGGCTGGGGTCTGCCTCGTTTGGGGGCAACTACTTGGCTACTTTGTTGCCAATACGGCAGGCATATCGGCATGTCGGGAGGTGTTGAAACGCTTACGGCCTTACAAGCGATTTGTCCGGACTAAAGCATCGATTTGTCTGGCCAGGGGATCAGGATAGCCCGGATTGCTGGATTGCCAATCGGGATCAGTGTCAGTGAACTGTCTGCCGCCCCTAACCGGGCCACCACTAATCCATAAGGGCCACCTGCCCACGGCCCAAGCCCAAACCCAAGCCCAAGCCCAACTCGTAGCCCAGCCCAGGTTAGTCAGCGAAAGCAAAACAAAAGAATTACGAATTAACCCAAAGCATTCCATTAAAATCCACCACCAGTCTAGCACTGAAAGTTCCAGCAGCAGGACCAAAACCAGGACGCACTGTTGCCTTGTGGCCTTCTGCATTTTTGCGTCGAGTGTGCGCTGGACTGGAGCGCTTGGCCAGGAGGTGGTGTCTGTTCGGGGCAGGTGATACTTTTGGCTTCCCCTTCCATCAGAACATAATACCCTGCCCGAAAAGGCTACGTTTAACTTTCAAAATAGGCTTACAAAAGGGTACTATTTTAGGTTACTAGTTGGACTTGAAAGTATAATACATGAAGGTATTATAGATTTTATATCTATTTGGTATTATAGAATAGGTATCAAGCATTATAATAGATTTACTATAATAAGTAAGATTCTTAAAAGTATTTTCCTTTTCTGCTCTTGTTTATGTTTCTTTATTCTCTCCTTTGGAAAATCGAAGTCAGTTATAACTTTTGATAATTATACAGGACCCTTGTATGATAAATGATTAGTGGCAAAATGCCAAATGCGCATCATTAGCGCACAGTAGCCCCTTGCCTTTCATTCCTGCCTTTCCTGCCCTTCCCTGCTCCACTCCCAGGACTTGCTCCGTCCACTTCTTCAATCCAATCCTGCGCCCCACTAAATCCAAAGGCCGCGCCCACCTCAAAAAGCGGGGTGGAACCGGCTGCCCTCCTGTGCCCTCCCCTGTCTTTCCACTTTGTTACTTTTGCTTCTTCTTCTTCTTCTAGAGTTCCTGATTCCCCCGATCCCGACCACCATCCCCATCCACCGCCCGACCCAGGTCCTTCGTCCCTTCGCAGCTGTCAAAAGGTTTTCAAAGTTGCCTTTGCCCGGCGCTTTGATGTCGCCCCCGAATGTTCCACTACTGGTTAGTGTGTGTGTCTGTATGTGTGTGTATTAGGGGATGTGTATTAGTGTGGGTGCGAGTGTGTCGGTGTGTGTGTCAGTAGTAGATACATTTTTTTTCCTGGCTTTGGGGGCTCCTTTCCCCAGTGAGAGACCCAAAGAGATTCCGCTGCGCGAATCGCAAAAATGTTTAATCGATAAAATAA